ACCGACGCCGCCGCCGCAGCCTCCAGGGACCCAGAGGGAAGGCCGCCGCCCCCTCCGGGCATCCGGGAAACCGAGAGGCGCCGGCTAGAGCGCCCGCAGAGCCGCCATCTCGGATGAGGGCAAGGCGGTGGGCAACTCCAGCGGCCTGTTCTCCCTAGAGGAGCATCACGAATTCGCTCCGCCGCTAGGCTTTGCCGCCCCACAGGAGGTCTTTTTCTGTCACGTCCTTGGGCTGTGCAGAATGACTTGGTAGTGGTCCCAGCCCTCTCCAACTTTTCTGCCAGGATTCAAAATGTCTGCCTCCGAGGAGGCCGACGATCTAGCTCTGCGCCTCTATGGTCACCGCGCTAGCCCCGCCAGGCGCATGCGCTCAGCTGGGAGCGCTAGAACAGGTGGAGGGCGGGCTACTCCCCGCTGGGGGCCTGCAGTACCGAAGTTCCCCCCATAGGTGGTGGACTCGGAGCCTGATCTTTATTCCCGGAATCCAACCTTGTATCTGCAAGTAAGGCAAGGTTTCCTGAACGAGTCCAAGGCACTCCGACAGCCTTTGCTTTGTTTTTTGTTTGTTTTTGCTTTGCTTTGAATAATGTCCTCCTTCCTCAAAGACCCACTCATGAAGCATCTGCTCCACGAAGTTTCTCTAGATCACCTCAAATCACAGTAAGCACTTTCCCGCTCCCCACCACCACGTCACATGGTCCAGCCACACCATGTATACTTGCTTGTATTTAAATATATCTTATAAAATAAAGAGCTAATATGCAAATGGTCATCTCGCCCTCACGTGGTCACGCCCTAACAGCTCAGACACTCAACACTGGGGAGAGATGAATGGGGACCAGCCAGGCACAAATGTGCTCGCAAGAGAGGAATGGGGACCAGCCAGGCTGTGGCCCCAGAGAGGGACAAGCCGCCCTTCCCGTGGTCCCGGGCGCCTGCGGCCCAGGCAAACCTGCCTGCCCACAGTCCCCTGCAGCTGCTGGGTGCCTGCAACTGGCCGGAGGAGGGAATCCTGGGTCCCAGGTGCTGGGCGAGGCAGGATCAATGTTTCTCTCTCATCGATGTTTCTGGCTCTTTATCCCTCTCCCTTCCTCTCTGAAATCAATAAGAATATATTTTTTAGCCAGGACGGGTTCGGCTCAGTGGATAGAGCGTCGGCCTGTGGACTCAAGGGTCCTGGGTTCAATTCCGGTCAAGGGCATGTACCTGGGTTGCGGGCACATCCCCAGTGGGGGGCGTGCAGGAGGCAGCTGATCGATGTTTCTCTCTCATCGATGTTTCTGGCTCTTTATCCCTCTCCCTTCCTCTCTGAAATCAATAAGAATATATTTTTTAGCCAGGACGGGTTCGGCTCAGTGGATAGAGCGTCGGCCTGTGGACTCAAGGGTCCTGGGTTCAATTCCGGTCAAGGGCATGTACCTGGGTTGCGGGCACATCCCCAGTGGGGGGCGTGCAGGAGGCAGCTGATCGATGTTTCTCTCTCATCGATGTTTCTGGCTCTTTATCCCTCTCCCTTCCTCTCTGAAATCAATAAGAATATATTTTTTAGCCAGGACGGGTTCGGCTCAGTGGATAGAGCGTCGGCCTGTGGACTCAAGGGTCCTGGGTTCAATTCCGGTCAAGGGCATGTACCTGGGTTGCGGGCACATCCCCAGTGGGGGGCGTGCAGGAGGCAGCTGATCGATGTTTCTCTCTCATCGATGTTTCTGGCTCTTTATCCCTCTCCCTTCCTCTCTGAAATCAATAAGAATATATTTTTTAAAAATTAATATATGACCCAGGAGATCACAGTTTGATTCCCAGACAGGGACGTGCAGGAGGCAGCCCATCCATGAGCTACTCTCACATTGATGTTTCTCTCCCTCTCTCTCCCTCTCTCTCTCTCTCTCTCTCTCTCTCTCTCTCACTCTTCCTCTCTAAAAAATTATTCCCAAGCATGTACCCTGACCGGGAATCAAACCAGCAACTGAGCCTGAGTGAGCCACTCCGTCCAAAGGCATAGCTTAGTTATTTTTAATCCGCTTGTGATTGTCGAGTGCCTTTTTTTCCCTTCGTTCTCCAACATCTGCCACGTATCTACATCACGTGGGTTCTGTTTCTCTGGAGAACCCTGCCTCACACGGGGTCTGAGGTAAGGAGAAAGGACCTTGCTCATTTGCAAAGACCGTCCTTTTCGAAGTTTGAAGGGAGACTTCACTTGACCAGATGCAGTGTTTTTTGTTTTAAATGTTTCTCTATAGACCAGGCTGGCCTTTGAGGCTCCAGACCTGCTGGGCATTTCCCACGAAGACAAGAACAGCTCTGCCCAGCACACGGCGGCATCTTCCATATTCCACCCAATTTCAGTTTTCAAGTTTTCACAAAATGATCCTGTTGTTAACCGGGCTGCAGGTTCAGCAGGATTTGTGGAAATGTGGTCTGCACGGTTTTCAAGAAGACAAGGGGTGGCACAGGTTCAGGCCTGGCGTGAGGGATTGCCCGGGGGAGGGCAGGACAAGACAAAGAGGCCTGTGTCCGGGACCGCTCAGCCCTGTCCCGAGAGCTGAATTATGTGGAAGGCAAGGTCAATCTTTGCAACAAAGAAGAACACTCCAGGCAACGCGTCAGGAGTTTTGCCTCCACTTTGCACTACTCCAGCTTGAACTTGGGGAAAATATTGGGCCTTCCTCTGTTTTCCTTCTCTGAACAGGCCTCCGCCAGCTGAGGCGGAATGTCTTTATTTCTAAAAATAATATCAACTTGGATCTCTAAGCG